GATCAGCAGCTTGTCAAATGGGAAACTTTGGATTGCTTTTTATCATATATTTTGGATTGATTAATTCGTTGCCAGACATTTATATATATATATGTATATGTATATATATTTATAATATATTTATATATACATACATAGCCATGTTATATATATATATCATATATATATATATATATATATATATATATATATATATATATATATATATATATATATATATATATATATATATATATATATATATATATATATATAAATAAAATTATTTATTATTATTTATTTAATATATACATTTTTTTCTTATGAACATGATTTGGCGTTTCAGAAGACAATACCCTGGACACGTTTAAAGCAGCTCCAGAGCGGGTATCTTAAGCCTATATACTATTCGATTCTATTTGCTCTCACAAATATTTAACTATATCAAGGGAATATTAGATTAGATTAATTTGTGTTTTTGCTACTGCAGTTTTAGGCTTATGACGAGATTTCCTGAAACTCTATGTTAACTTCCGCTTAGTATACATGAGACCAAAATATTTAGATTCATCCATATGACATAATTTGAAAACGGATTTACAAATATGTAATAAATCTTTAACTAACTTACACAAATTCCTTATCTTCAAATTTGAAAACTTCCATGAAATTTTCAACAACTGGAAAGCTTCACTGCATGTGGCAAGCGAGTGCTCCATATGTCACATTTTAGTATAAATTCTAAAGATGAAGAAAAACTAAAGAAGCATTGATTATCAATAATAAGTTGCCTTTCTCACTTCCCATGACACCAAAGCAATATAACTTTTAATATTTCTTTTAAGATTCCGATATATTCAGTTAGTATTTATGATGGTACTATAAAACATGTAGTAAATCATATATTAGCAGACATAGAATAACTTATTTTACTACCATACATATTATCCAAGACTACTAATTACCTTAAAGATTCGACTTCATTCCTTTAGAACATCGTGCTGTATGTGTATTTGTGTATGTGTGTATACATGTTAGTGTGGTGGTGTGTAACTAAGTTAGGGCGTACACAGAGATACGCAGTCTCCTGTTGATCACTTTCGACTAGTTTTATTTTCAATCAGCTGATTACGTTCCTTATTGGACTGCACTACAGCAAGCGAAATATATGCATGTGTGCGTGTGTGTTTTTGATAATCCTTTTGTTACGCACCAACCCCCGACTGTTTTGTGCTACATCTCTCACTCTTACTCTCTTTCTTTCTCTGTCTCTCTCGCTCTCTCTTCATTGCTGACTCTCTTGCATTGCTGCTCTCTTAGTCAGCGCAAGCTGACATGAATTAAGCTCGACGCTCTCTTTGGTGGGTGGCAACGTAGCAACACTCGCTGCTGGGCCTTTTGTAGGTGTTTGAATGTATTTGTTGTTACTGATTTTTCTTTCTTGTTTGTTTGTTTGCTTTTTGCTTCGTTTCTTTTTGTTTGTACTGCGGCGCACTTTTGTGGGTGGAGCTTGAATTTTGTCTGTGCTTTGCCTTTCGTCGATGTTTCTTTTTCTGTTTTTCGTCTGGCAGCATTTTATTTGCTTATTTTTTGTTGTATAACGTTGTTAACTGTGCGCACTCTACGCACAATATTTTACATCTACTCGTTATGGACTTATTGAGTCCATTGTGAAAGGGATTGCGTTGCGTGCGCCTGAGCGAGATAGAGCACACAGTGTTAGGTTGCGAGCTCATTTAAAGTGGGCCAAAAGGGATAGAATCGTTTTCTATATATATTTCATACAATATACAAAAAATACAGCATTGACTATATTGCAACCCATATATGGATATACTGAAGTCTCTCAGAGTTCATGGCACGTTTGAACTATATCGTTGGCTAGCTTAGTCAGTTAGAGCTCTGTATATACATGCATTTATAAATCATATACATATATATATATTTATTTAAATAGATACCTAATAGAGTTCTTAATGACATCTCGTCGCTCAGTGCTCAGTGCTCAGTGCTCAGTGCTCAGTGTGTTTTCCAGTCGGGCATTCCCAATTAGTTCACTTTAAGTTGTTCCTATACAAGATTTTACCCCGTAGATTTCGCAATTGCATGCAATTTGCTAGAGGAAATAGCTGCTGTATTTATCTATATAGTTTGCGTCTCATTTCTTCTTAAAGTATAATTCATCTGAATCTCTTAAATAAAAAAAAAAAAAAAAAAATATATATATATATATATATATATAGCACCGCTCATCCATCAGTCTGTCCGTCCATCCGCCCGTTTGTTTTATTGTCTGTTTGATGTTGAAACTTGTTTGGCGTTAGAAACTTGGCTCGTGGTTGTTCGTTAGCCCGAATTGATCAAATTTGTGTCCATTATATCAGCATTTATAAAGTAAAATACAGTTAGCAAGTTCTCTTCTACTTATTGAACAATTTCCATACAAATGTGATAAGAATTCTTTTTAAAGCTAGTAACTTGGGCGCACTTTCACAGTTTCAGTATGACTACTCCAAGTAAAAAGTAAGCGAAATATCGAATTTTTAAATATATATAAGATACAAATATTTGTTTAGTTTTTGATAAGATAAACTATTTACCCTTCTGCTCGAACCGTCCTGAACAAACCAAGCCGAAAAAACCTTTCTGGATATGTTTACAAATTCAAGATCCGAAAACTAAAACTATAATTTACTTAAAAACTATAACTGTATAAATGTATTACATATTTATTCATGTATAATATAAGTAATAATAATTTTCTAAGAAGCATTTATCCGAAATATCAGGAGTTATTATATCTCGTCTTTCGAGTCGAGTTTCAGCAGCTCACAGTTTCGAGCATTGATTAGACAGACCATATCCAACTTGATTGAGTTGTCAAAAAAAAAAGAACAGAGTTCAAGACTCTAGTTTTAGAGAAAGTTTTACAGAAGATTCGATTTTGAGTTGTTTTCTGTTTAAGTCGGGAATATTTATGGCTGCTTCTAATCGCAATGCCAAACCTGAATTCCAGAAACTTTGCTGACTCAAAAAACTTGGCTCTTAGCTTATAGACATCAATATCCGTTGTGCCCATATGTATATAGTTGCAATTTGTGTTCAAAATTGTGACGGGACCACCCAGTTGGAGACCATATTACCTAAATAATACGGTAGCTGGGCTAGCTGGTAATGAGACCGCCCAAGGTTCGAGCTCAGCTGACTGGCTGAGACACTGACTAACTGACTGACTGGCGTAATTCTTGCTGTAGATTCTTAGGCCATGCTGAAAGTTAATTAGCCACTGCGAACAATAGCCTAGCCTGGGCCTGGACCTGGGCCTGGACCATTCGAGCCACTTCATATGGTAATTCAAGTCGCACATCATAAACTGCTGACAAAGTTCTGTGTTGGGCCTTGAGTCGCTGCCACCGCAAGCTGATTGAATGTACTCGGGCACTCGTATAAGCGACAAGCGATGAAACTGACGATCAGCCAGATCATTTACGTGCACGTTCTAAAAACCTGGAGCTAAAAGCCTAAGCTACGGTCCGAGCTGAGACTGAGACGCAGACTGGGGCTGAAGTTGAAGCTGAAGCTGCCTGCAGCTGCAACTGAATCTTGAGCCAGGCGTGTGTCAGGCTTCTTGTTGTCTGTTTGCCCCTTTTTGGGGGCGCATGCTTCGATCGTTCGATCGTTCGATTGCTTGATCGCTCGATTGTCGTTCGCCGGCATCTTTAACGCTCGGCTTACTTTCTTTACAGGCCAGGCCAAGCCAGGCCAGTCCGTCAGGCAGCGAGCGAGCAGGCACTACCTGGTATTGGGCACTTCGCACTGTCTAGAGTTTCCACAGTTTCTTAATCCGATATAGGGGGCTTCGCATAGTTTTGACGCCGACAATGGCATTGCCTTTTGCAATTTAACAATTGACTGCACCGGCTTGATTTGCAGCTCAGCTTTTGTTGCATTTGGCACAAGCAGCCTATAGTCGGCAGGGGGTGTGGGGGGAGGGGGGTAGTGGCTGGGATTTTGCATCTTTCGGATGTAGTAACCGCGGCGGGGTGTTCAATTTATTTATGCTATGTTAAAACCGCAGCAAAACAGAAAAAAACATTGCACGACCCATGATGATCCACGAGTAGTGAGCGAAGATGGAGTTAGGGAGCTCAGCCAAGCAAGGGAATTGTAGTTGGTAGCCCAAATCTAACTGGCTAAGAGTGTGTATCTCTGTCTCAGTCTCAGGCGCAGTTGCAGTCGCAGTCTCTGTGTGTGTTTCGCTCTGGCTTGAATCATAATTTATTAACACTCACTCTTAAGGCTTCGTGCAAAATTCATGATTTTCGCAATTGTTGTTGATGATGGTTTTTATCGTTGTGCTGCCGTTGTTGTTGTTTACTGTGTGTGCATAATTAACTGTAGTTATTGTTGTATGTTTACCTCTTTTTTTCCCTTGTTTTCCATTCGAGTGTGGTTAGGTTTCATCTTTTGTTTCTCGCCTTGTAAACCAAGTGGTGTGGGGGGGCATGGTCTTTGGATTGTTGCTTAATAAATTGTGTTTTCTTTCTTTGTTTTATTAGTTTTAAATAAATACGATAACTTTATTAATAGTCTTCCATTGTTTCATCTGACGCCGTTGCTTTTGCGTCACTTAAACAAAATAACAAAAATCGCGACAAACATTTTCCCTCCATGCGACGCAACTAATCTACACTTAAGTCTATTAAAAAAAAAAAAAAATAATTCCTTACTTAAGAATTTAGTACTAAGTATGTACTTAGTATTTAGTATAAACGCTTAGTGCGCCCTATCCATACATACATTTATTATATATATCTTTGTTTATATGTAAAGGGAACTATTTACAGTTCTTATGGATATTAGTTAAAAGTAAAAAAAAAAAAAGTTAAATTATTTATTTGATATTTGAATATATTCAGATGACTCCTTCATCGTGCTAACTTTTCGAGGCAAGAGAAAAACAGAAAGACGAAGAAGAAGAGAAGTTTAATCATACACGCACGAATTTCATTTTGGTTTTCAGTTCAGTTCTATGTGCAGAAAGGCGCGTGTTCTTTGGAGTGGCGCTGCCATCAGATCGGGTCAATAGGGACGCCAGACTTGCGTCATGTCGCCGACGTCCTCTTCGCGAGCCGCCTCATTGCTGACATCGTTTTGATGCTGCTGCTGCTGCTGGTGGTGCTGTTGCTGTTGCTGTTGCTGCTGCTGTTGCTGTGCCTCCAGTTGCCGCTGCGCCTCGTGTTGCTGCTGCTGCTGCTGATGATGATGATGATGCAAATGATAGTTGTTTTGGCTGGCACCCTCGGCCGCCTGCTCGGCAATGGCCACGGCCGCCTGCTGATCCTGCTCCCCCAGGGAAACACCGCCACTGAGGCCAGCACCCAAGCCAATCTCGATGCTAGATCGATTGCTGGCTAGCGAGCTGATGGTCAGCTGTTGGTCCGTGGCCAGGTACTGTTCCAGCTTTTCGCTGCTGTGCAAATGCAGATGTATCTGGTTTTGATTGACCGTGGAGTAGAGCTGTGGATACAGCACAACTGGTGGCGGTGGTGCCGTCGCATGGCCAGCGGCTCCCCCGTATTGTGCCGCCGTCGCCGAGCAACTGCCGTATTGGTAGTTGTTGTAGCCATTCGACCAGGCCGCAGCATTGTTGTATGCAGTGGGCGTCGCTCCGTAGCTGGCGTTGAGGGTTTCCAGGTCTGACTTGGAGCTGGTGCCACAATAGCCGCTGGCCGCGGCCGTCTGATACGGATCGGCGGAGAAGCCATGCATCTCGGGAAGCACCGTCGATATATGATAGTTGGCCGCGTCCAGCGTGGTTGTATCATAGCCGCTCATAGCGCTGCTATAGTGGTTCATGGCCGATGCCGTGGCCACTGGCACAGGCACCGGTGCAGCTGCCGGCGGCGGCGGTGGCGGCGGCAGAGCCACCTGATGTTGCAGGTGGTGCGCGTGATGGTGATGCGCCGCGTGGCTATGCGTATGCGAGTGCGAGTGCGAGTGCGAGTGGGTGTGACTGTGGTGGGCATGATGATAGGGCACACCCACGCCGACGCCCACCGGATAGGCGACATTAGCCCCGGAGCTGGCTGAGCCTGTCCATTCAGCTGCCCCTATCAGATCGGTTTCTGCAAGAGAAATAGTTGGTTAAGCAAAGTCAGTTTCGCAAAATTATTAGAGAACCCCTTCGAGTGGGTATGCCGTCTCCATTCGATCCCCATGCCCCAACGCACAGCTGCACTTGTCACAAACATGCGTGGGCGTGGCTGGCGACAGGCGGAATGGATAATTGAAAAATAATTTCATATACGTCGACGCGACCCACGTGTGTGCACGTCCCTCACCCCTAGCGACATGGCCAAGGGGTTAACAAATTGGCAGAGCAAAAGAAAATTCCAAGGCATGCCCCAGGCAACTACGACAAAAACGGCGGGACGTCGCCACCCCTGCTCCTGCCTCAGTCCCTGCCCCTGCCCCAGCCCCTGCCCCTGCCCCTGCCCCTACTTCCGCCCCATCAGTGATATTTGACACAACGTCGCGCGCATATTTTGATTAATTACGTAAGCCAGCGGGCCCAGCAAAAGGAAATGAAACAGAACTTAAAGTAACGCACAGCCACGCTACGAGGCTGGGCCAAAAATGCCTTTTAATTAATCAAATTCATTAGAAGCGCAGCTCAGGTTCATGAGCGCTAAATCAACTATACGAATTATTACCTGCCTAATCTACTAATACACAGAAAGCAAATAATTATTCTAATTACACCTAAGAGCAACAAATTCCTGATGCCCTCGCTCAAACTTTGCCAGAGCCTCCGCCTTAACCCCGTTGCAGCTTCGCTAAGATAGTCAAATTTATCTCAATATGAGACAAGGTATTATGATCAAGGAGCTTGCAGCTTAGTCTGATGCAAACTGTATTTATTGTGCATACTCTAACTTCCTCATAGCCCGACTAGAACTCTGCTATTGCCCACTCCTAAAGGCGCTGCACTTGACTGACCTAAGCCATACTTACTGAGTGTCCTTCAAGCCCAAGGCTGTAATACACATGGCAATGGTTTGATTGATGCAACAAGCTGGAGGCATAAGAGTCAAAGAGGATATACTGCTCCCCTTTTAAATGGGCTACGGTCAGATGAGTTCGATCATATATCTTGTAGGTCGAGCTATGAAAAAGTTCAACTGCAAAACTGATTGATCCTTGCTCTTAAAATGATGCGAATACGGCAAAAGATACAGTTGTGCCATGCCTTCTATATATACATATATTTCAAGTTCCAAGGGAAGCTAGAAATTGTAATTGACCAGGCTGCATATTGGCCTATTACAAAATAATTCAAGCTCTAGAACCTGACGACACACACGAGGCATGTCTATTCTAAATTTCAAGTGAGATGCGCTTTGTGAACAAATCCAAACATATATGGCTGTATATATAGTGAATCTGTACATATTGTGAGAGTCATGATGATATAATGATATGATGGAAATTTGTTTGATTTTAGCTCATGAATCACTCTATAATTCTCTACTTTTTCGCTTTAGTTGAGTGAAAATTGCATAATTAAATTAATTTTGATATGAATAGTTTATGCGTTAATGAAATGAATTTGATGAATAATTGATTTGCGCAATTTGACTTGATTTCAGCCGTTTGACCTGTTGAAAGGCCACTCGCATTCTTGGGCCCATTTGCAATTCGCATGCAATCTTCATGTCAAACCCGTTTCTGACTTCTGTACAGTTAATGTGTGTATTAGCTTAACAGCAGCGGGGGGCGGGGGGTGGTATGGCTGAGAAAATTGCATACGGGCAACTTTTCACCCGGCACTTATCACATTTTATTGTTTCAATTAAGGCGCAAATTGCATTGCAGGAACAACAGCCGAAGCAATCAGGGGCCCAGCCCCCTACCGCAACAACTCGTCGGGGATGCAATGAAGCGCGACTGTCTGGGGCGAATAACGAATAATGACTTTGGCTAAGGACCAGGTTCCCTAACCCAGGCCTCTCGGCACGTGCACAAAGCTAATACCAGCCGGCAAGCGGCAGGGTGAGTGAAGACATTACACGCTATTTGCCCTTTGGTTAGAGCCTCCATTAATGTCACTTGCATTGCATATAATTGTAGGCTTCGTTGCGTATACGCAATACCAATTTCATTGGCATTCTAACTAACTGATAGCCACATATAGCCTTAAATATAATATAATAATAGAATATATATATATATATATATAATATCATAGAAGTATAAGCATATAGCAAGTGAAAATTATATAAATCTTGATTCTAAAATTATTCATTTTTAATAATTCAAAAGTAAATTAAATTCGATTTTATTTAAACATATTTATATTAAGAGCTTATTACTCGGTTTTTAGTCTTTCAGTGTTCAGGCCTTAAAATTGTACATTAATTTTTGAATCTAAAGGATGTTGAGTCTTTTAGTTTTTTTCCTAACAGATTTAAAATTATTCATAGCATCAATTAGATTAACTACAATATAAGTCCATGATGTATATATATGTATATGAATTTAGAAACTATTGAGCAATAATCATAGGATTCGCATTGGATGAAATGCACTAGTCAAGACTTAGACTATGTCTTGGCAAATGACTTTGAAGCGATGCAACCGAATCTCAAACAAATTATGTCAGACTTTTGATACCTTCTAATCTATATACATATATGTCTATATAAATATATATTCTGTCATCCGAAACAAATCACAGCAGTAACTGAAAGACGATATCTCAAAAGGCACATAGATTTTTCTTAAAGATTTCCAAATGTTTTCGAAAAATGTATAATTTATTTTTATTATTTATTTTTTATAATAATTTTTTTATATTCATTTATTTTTATTATTTATTATTTTCAGAGACTTCAGATTGAAGTCTATAAAAACGTATGGCCTTAAACTTGTTTACTAATTAAAATTAGTTTCTGCTCTATAGAAGTTTCTTTTGAGGAATTCTTCGATAGGATTTTCCTCTCACTTCTTTAATTATTGCAAACATCTTAAAGTTTCAGTTGTTCGTAGCACACATTGGGCATACCTAAGGCTGCTATTTACCGCGCTCACTGCTAGTATCTCCCATTATGCGTCTTTTCTCACGGGCTGACAGACCTTGCACCATGCATTAGCCTATTGCAAAGAGTCACAAGTAACATATTCCTTCGTTAGCTTTTGCACACTTTAAGTTTGAGCAATTCGTCAACGAGTAATTCATATAACTGGCCGGATATCTTCGATTTTCTTTGGCCATATTCTTCATATCCGCTTCGAGTGCAATCAAGCATAAGGAAGAGCATGAGTAAGAGGAAGAGGGAGAAGAAGAAGCGACTCGACTAGCTGATTATAAAACCACAGTTGGTCAATAATCGCCGTCAGCAGGGCATTGGGCAGCAGTTGAAGCTCTGGCCCAGGGCTCGAGCTCGTTCTCGGGCTCGGGCTCGGGCTCGGATTGGCAGCGACCCCGTTTCAGGTTCTCACAGCTTTCGTTTGTCAGCGCCATCTTGTAGCTCATTAAGGAGCAGAGCAGAGCAGAGCAGAGCTTCCAGACACGAAATACAAGTGCAGAGCTACCAGCTACCAGCTACCAGCTACCCGCCAGGTGGTGGCTAAGTGCCATTGCTGTTAATTAAAGTGGCTCCACGGCAGCCACTGCTTAGTCTCCTCTTCGGGCTTGCAAAATGGCGGCTGGCAAAAGAGCAAAAAGAAAAACAAAACAAAAAAAAAACAACAAAGTAGCAGCAACTTTGCAGTGCAACGTTGTTGTAAACAGCAAACGGCACGAAACGGAAGTGAGTTTGCGGTTTGGGTTCGGGCTTGGGTTTGTGTTTGGGTTTTGGTGGCGGACCAACTTGGCCACAGTTGGCGTTTTATGGGCCAAAAAGATTTCATTTCAAAGTGCGATGGTTGACATTTTTGTTGTTTTTGCACGCGTTGTTGCTGTTGCAGTTGTAGTTGCTTTTTTTGCCTTTACTGTTACCCAGCACAATACACTGCACGCATTTCTGGATGTGCATCTTACAGTTTGCATTTTGCAGTTCGCAGTTTTCAGTTCGCAATTTGCATTTTAATGTTGGATGTTGTTGGCGTTGGCATAGCCAACAGCTGCGCAACCGCATTTGGATTGATTTGTGGCTTGGGCACACAGACTCAGTAAAAACAAAAAAACGCTCCAAATAAGTGCCAAACTCCCGCTGCCGGCCGCTCGACCCATCCATCTGGAAATCCCAACAGTTGTGCATTAACATACTCCACGCATTGTGCCAGCCGCACGAACACAGCAATGCCAAGCATGAAGCAATTGTTTTTAACTAAATAAAATTAATACACATTAAATTATATATATTTAAAATGTATTTGGATGTGCGGGAGCTCCCAGTCTAGAAGTTCTAGGAGTCTAGAAGTCTAGAGCTATTATCAAGAAAGCTATCTATATACATATACATATACATATGTATTTATAATATATACATATGTACTCTCTGGAATGTTTCACAGTTTGTATGACTCTTGGCAAAGTTAAGCTGTTACGAGTTCTACAATGATCGCGTATTAGAATAAAATATATAGGGTATGTTCAAGGAGTATTGCAAGTGCTGACTCTCCGTGAGTTACGTATATTTGATTTTCAATTTTCGATTTGTCACTCACTTATACCGATAGCTGGACATGTTTTAACTTCATCTCAACAACAACTTCTTCTCGACAACACAATTATTGCCCAGACTAAGCTTATTCTCATTCCCGAAACTGAAGAGGCACATATAAGGACGATGATAGGATTGAGAAGAGTTAAGCGTCATCAAAGGAGCAGCTGAGCAAGACACCAAAAAGAGCTTTCTAAAATGAAGTCTAAGCCTTTAAAAATGTTTGAACAGGGTATATTTGTCTTCTGCAAAGTGAGAGAGAGAGAAAAAGCAGCAGCTAGAGGCTTGGCATAATCCTATCTTGCTCCTTCAACCATCACTTGAAGACTGCTAAAATTACACATTCTCAATTTACAACATAATTTTGTGTGTCGACCTCACAGAGTACGAATATTTTCGATACTGAATAAATGCTCCCTCTCCTCACAAAACTTAATAGAAGAGATTGTTCTTAAAAGTATTTTGATGCGCTGAGAAACATAACACAACATAACCTAATCAAAAAAGGCTTTCCATAATGGAGAGGCTGCATATATATGTAAATATATATGACTATGTGTGCGCGTGTATTGAAAAGGGTTATACAAAAGGAGCGGCTTTTATGCAGCGTACAGGGTATCTACTAGTAAGGCACTCTAGGCTTAAGAGCTCTTAGTCGTTCGCGAAGTGAAGCGAAAGTTTGATAAATTAATTACTGGTCAGATCTTCTATATGTTACACGATCGCGCCCCTTTAGGGGGCGTGACAAATCGAAATGGCAGCTATGTACCTTTCTGTAGACAGCTTGTTATCCACGTCAACTGTGGGCGTGGCAAATCTAAAAAACTGTGCAACAACGTTCTAAAGTTTCTCAGTTAAGATCGTCAAATTCCAGGGGGAAGCCCAAATGGGTCTATAAACTATGTGGAGAATCGGAAAATATTGACTTTTGAATGCATTTTAACTGTGCTTGAACAGTGAACGATTGCAATCGTTTAACAAATATAACTGACACAGACATATATATATATATATATATACATATTGTGATAGGTCCTATTCGTTCGATATAGATACTAAGGCCACTTTGATTCGTTATAATTAATCATTTTTCGTTGCCAATAAATTCGCAATTGGTTTCGTGGAATTTCCCAATGATTTCCGCTAACACAAAAAACACTCAACGATTTTAGCCAAGTTATTATTATGCGTAAATTAACAATTTAAGCGCCACATTAAAATATTAATGGGTTAGCTTTTTAACAGTAACAAAAGCCAGAATATATATACTATATAAATTTTTAAATATATATTTATATAGATATTTATGTTTGTGTGTGTGTGTATACCTAGAGTATATAACAACCACACGAAACGTTGCCCAAACACGCGCTGTGGGATTTTTAGTCTACGTTTGGGGCATTTCCGGTTTTGGCTTATTTTAGCAAGCAAACATAACGAAATCGATTGCACTGCCAAATGCCCCACGATTGTTGCTGTTGTTGTGGTAGTGTTTATTGTTGTTATTTTGGACAATTAAGAGACGACGCAGACGACGACGGCGACGATGATATCGATGTGTCACTTTATTCGCATCGTACATACATATTTATTGTAATTGGGCAGTTCGATGAGCCGCGTCTCGGCTCGAATCTCTTTTGGTGGCACACAAAATGCAAAAAAATTCATAAATTAATTAGCATAAGCAACACTTAGTCGCCGTATCAGAGTTTCTGTTTCACATTCGTCTAGGTTCAAACTAGCCCTGACTCATAACACAATGACTCAGCTCCCCATACCCATAACCAGTGCCGGTCCAGTCCCCAACTCACAGCTCACAGCTCCCAGTCTCCAAGTCAGTTGCTCAACTTCTGTTAAATAGCAATAATTTTGCCTCTTTTTAAGTTGTTGCGGCTCTGGAATTAGCGTATATTTACATACCCTGTACGCTCTGATCTATAACATCTTCACACACACACACGCACACACACATACTATACATATACATGTGTTTATGTATGTGCATGGCACAGGCCTAAGCTTGATTTAGTTCGCAACATTTTTGACGGCTTGCCTTTGTCTAAATACCCTGTACATATATCAACATCATTAACGGATGCCTATTTCTCTGCCTGCCTCTTTCTTTGTTCCAGTTCCAGGTACTTCATAAACGAATCTTAGTCTCTGCTATATAAAGAGAAGATTCAATTCAGTGAGACTTCTCGATAACCAATGCGTTTTCGTGGTATCAATAAGCATTTGTATCGATATCTTACGAAAAGCATTTTATTGTGGTTCGTAAAGGCTAGTTGATATAGTTGGTGTGTTATATTCTTGATAGTCATAAGTGGGCCAGCTTGGCTATAGAACCATTAAGCCGTTTTAAAAAGTCCGATAATGTCGATCAATATAATATACCTATATGCTAGTTTCTGAACTAACTCGAACCAGATAATTAGTTGATCGTATATGTGGTTTACTTCTAGTAATCGATAACATTTTGCGTGATATCGATAATTGGGTATATCGACCAAACATTGGAGTTTCACGTGCTGGCACAGAATGCGCTAATCGAGTTAATTCCCAAACATATCTATACAGTTTGTTACTTCAAGATATCGATAATATCGCTGATATCGATAAATCAAAGGCACTAAGATCTGGCAGCTAGCTTCGTACTGAGCACAAGGTATCTGAACAGTTAGTGACGCGCGATTAAAAACATTTGGCACGGACAAACCTGGGTAATATTTGCCCGTGTCTCGCGAGTACTATTATAACATAGTTATATGTTGGGAAGGCATGGCCAGGCGAGGCCCCATGGCGACAATGATCGACATCAACGGGGTTGAACTATTTTTAAGTTTCGTGGAAGAAAATAAATAAATTAACGGCATTATGTTAAGAGATAAGTAATAAATACTAAAAATAAATCGAGACTGAGACTGCGACCGAGACCGGCCGTTCATTAACTCAATTAAAACGTTTAGGCCGCCTGGTGCCAGTCGAGTCGACCAAGTTCTTGACCATCTAATAAAGGTGCACGCTCACGCACATACGCGCACTCACACAGACACACACGGGCACACGTGTATTGTCACGGAAGCAAATGCAGGCAGCATTAAGACTCGTTACGTTCATTAAAAAGATGCTCGCTGAGAGTGGAAATTTGTCGGCGAGTGGGTCAGCCCCTTCGGTATATGTATCTTACCTTGAATTTGTGGCGCATTAGGCTTGTAGCCCTGGCAATCCGAATTTATTGTACTATTTGATGATGAGTAATTGCTGCCCAATTGCTGGGCAATGCTCGCGTTTGTGGTCAGCGCGTTGCCAGCCGATGCAACCGACACCGCAGCAGCCGCCGCTGCCGTTGTTGCAGCCGCAACCTTTGCCGAGTGTCGCAGCGTTTCCAGTTCGTGAAATGTTTTTGGAAAACCGTCGATAAACGGTCGCTGGCCCAGGCCGAGGGCACGATACTGCGGACCGCCGGGCGGACCTGCAAAACAGTCCATATATGGCATAATAATTTGTTTGTATTTAATCTATGTTCATGCAGATATATACAGAGGTATTTTAAAGTAAAGAATAATTTATTACTACGAGAGATTCTTTTACGATTCGTGTGATCGCACTTGTCCTTAATGACTTAATGACAACATTACGGGTCAAGTTAAGCTAAAACCAGATAAGATATAGCTGGAAAACATCTCAAGTCGATATGGTATGTAGGGAAGTAATCTTGTAGTATATAGTATGATAATCTGTAGTAGCGTATACCCTAAATACACTGTATTCGTTGGAACCTAAGGAAGTAATCATGGTCGTACTATTAAAGTATATATATGGAGTCTGTTTGATCAGATTCAATACCCGAATCAATCTTGAATGAGTTGAGATTTGCTACAGCTCATAAAATTTAAACAACTTTACTATATATTTAATAACCTAATAATTAAATTAAGAGAAATAGCGGACCTAAAAGAGTTTTTTAAACTTTTTCGATTGCTATTCATTATTAAAGTGAAAATTTTGCAGAGTATATAAAAGTCGATTAGCTTTGCATTGATGCATTCTTCTTGAAACACTAGTGAATAACTTCTCAGCCTACCCTCGTTAGTTCGTTCGTACGTAATTAACTCAGACTCAAGGTAAAGCCGCAGCATATTTTATAATGCATATACTTAAGTTAACTCGTATGTAGAGTACGTATTGCCAGTGAAGACCTAAAAATGCATTAACAAAAAACAAAAACACAAAAAAATTAATATTAAAATAAGAAAAAAATTAATTCATACTCGTATATGCATTACACAAACTAAAGAGTGAGAGGGAGCGAGAGAAAAAAACACACTCAATACGACATCGTTGCCGCCTTTGCAAAAAAGTTTTTCTTTGAAAACCGCAATTTTTTCAGAAACCGTAGGAAGCAATGCAGCTCAGCTCAGTTCAGTTCAGTTCAGTTGAGTTGAGTTCAGTTCAGTTGACTTGAGTTGAGATATACGTCTATCTGTCTGTCCATCTGTGCTGGCAAGCCGGCTGCACTTTTCAAACACCTTACCCCAAAAACAAAAGCAAAAAAAAAGGTCCGCCAAACAAAATGGCGGAACTCTGTTTACAAGATCTCGCATTGCGAGCAATTTTCAAGTCAAAATCTGACGCAAATATTTTGACGGCAACAGCCGGCAGAAGACGGGCGGCAGCAGGTAGACTTTGTTGCTTCTTGTTCCACGAGGATTATGAGTGATTAGCATTGTGTGCAATTGACCGATATGGCTTAAGCTATTTACACCAATTAGACACTTGCCTAATGCGGCCTGTAGCTAATGCTAACCTAAAACCCAGCGTGTGACTGGAGCCCTTCTCGCCTTTGTCTTCAGCTTGAATCCGTGTTACTTACTTGTCTTCGAGCGCGGCTCCCTTGGACCGTCAACGGTCACTTTGATGGCTTTGGCATAGGTGGCAACTTGTGGCGGGCTCGTTGCAACGGTAATTGTTAGCGTAAAGCTCTTTCCTGTAACAATGAGAAGGAGAAAAGAAAAACATTGGCATTAAAAGTCATATATTGATTTATGAGACAGCTAATTGGCTACCGAATCAATTTCCAGCTCCTCCCCAAAATGTATTTAGAATTGTCTTCCCGACTACCCTGAACGCACTGAAAGTTCTGGCGAATATCAACTGCGTTTGCCATAGTTAAGCAACTGCGAGTTTCGATAATCTTTTGAAAGAGTTTAACCCCCAAGAGTTAATGTGATCGGATTGTATATAGCCTATAGCTTAAGCAGTAGATATCTGAGTTTGCCTTTGAATATGTGCCTATGCAAAAGATCATTTTGATGCTAGTCTTAAGTATAAGTCCAGATGCGCAGATGCTCATCCATACCAAAAATCAAATTCATATAAATCTATAGTTGCCCAAAAGTTAGCGCAGTTTCCGAATGCTGACTTCATCTTTTGTTTCGCCTAAATTCCAGAATATCAACAACATTTGAAAATGTCAAGTCTTGCTCTTGTTAGCCTATGCTATTTAATATTATTATGTATATATACATATATATATGTAAAGCTTTACCTTTAGCATAACTAATATCTACATCATATAAATATCATGCTATACTTCAAAGGATTATCTCAGCATATCTCTGTTTTCAAAATTATTATCATGTCATTTTGATCACTGACATAAATCTATATCGATTTCAATATAACTATATATATTTTGGTACAGCTCTTATGAATATTTTAGTCTTTACTTTGACATGAAAGTACTTTAATAGATACCTTTATCCAAATCGTGATCGATTACTATATTTATATCTAATCATCTTAATACAGCAAATCTGTTTATAATTTTGTATCTATATATCTGTGTTGAGCTCTTTCTCTTAATTGACATATATATCTACATATACTACATATTATTATAAAAGGGTATATCAGCATCGGATTTCTTATCGGATTTTTTATTGGATTTAGGCGAATTCTTTTTTTTTCAGTGTGACGCAATTTGTTTGAGCTCGACATAAATTTTGTTGATCCTTCCTTGATGGCCACCTTCAAGCGATTGTCCCGCACCGCATTTATGGCAAAAAACAACAACAAAAACAACGTGAACAGAAAACGCCATAAAATTGTTGAAACCTGTCGGCTGGGTGCGCGAAACGGGGCAACATTGTGCTCTTTGAATGGGCTTGACCATGTTTACACTATTTATGGTCGAAGCGGGTGCCACAACGCGTCGCATCGTCTGGTCTAATGGTGAGTGCTGCACTCTGCTGAATGCTGAATGGTGATAAGTTTATCGATTTGCCAACCGCAGTCTGTAATCGATTATCGGGTGAGGGAGTCTGTTCGACTTTCGACTGACTATTGCATACGCATCAATTGTCGCTTCTGCTGCACGCTCTGTCTGCCGCTTTAATAAATGCATTACCGCCATTTTTATGCCCTATACCCTTTTGAAAATTTACAAACAGGGTATATTAGTATTCTTCTCATGTATGCAGCAGCACCTGGATTGCAAAGCGACAAGTTGAGCCAAGTCGTTATCGGGCCGTAGTTATACTTTCCTATTTACTCCCATGTATAGCACATGTTAATCGCCTTTCTTTCGATAACTTATCTTATTTGCTTATCACACTTTTAAGTCTTCATTGCTGCTCTGTCAGGCTAGAGGGTATCTCATAGTCAGGCACTTCCAATGCTGACTGGCTGCTGTAGTTGTTATTGTTGTTGTCGGCGGTTAATGAACAGATACTTGTAGGGAGCGGCGGGAGGAGGCCGTGGGCAGAAAGCCGCACAGGTAGCCAGTTTATGCACACATTCATACTATATATTAAATACCCACTAAAGCAACATTGTTTTTACTTTGTAGCTGCATAGCCAACAGCAACGGAGAGAGGGAGAGAGAGATTCGAATTTGGGACCATAGACAGAACCGAAATCAATCCTTCCTGGCAACCGCAAAACCTCAGTCGCAACCATGGCAATAGCCCCCGCCTGCGATGGAGCCAGTGCAGGAGCATTCATCCTGCACCTACGCATCAGCAGCATTGCAATTGAGATCGCAAGAAGACCGGGTAGAGGCTGGCAGTGGTCGTGGTAGAGGTAGTGTGTGGTGCACTTGGACAACTCGACCAAATGACATTTAATTACGGACAGTTCGGCCAACGGGTCTGTCAAAGCTAAGGGATCTTTGAGTTCGTTAACCTAGCTCAGTTTATTTGTGCAACTATTCATATATGCCCCATAAATTGTGCTCATCAGTTAGAAAGCGTTTGTCCTCGACCAGTCGAACTCTCCACTCTGCAATCTCCAATCTCGACTCCCTGTCAATTAGATGTATTGGCGTGCTACGTGGTCGTTGACGTTGGCTTCAAATGTCTTCATTAGCTCGAGTTGAGCTTGCGTTTGAAAGTCAAATCTATCGCAATAAGAAGTCAAATTAATCAAACTGCTCCAAAAAAGAAACAAAAACCAAAAAACATAATGACACGAAAATCAAAAAAAAAAAAACATAAAATTCAAAGTGAATACCAAAACTTTTAAAGAGACTCCTAGACATTTTGGTTTTACTTACTCTTTGGCAGTCATTATTCAATGGAGCACACCGAGGCATTTGTATTACCTGGCACAGGTTGAGAGCAGGAGGCAGAGTTGAGTTCAGTTGAGTTGAGCTCTGGCTTGGGGTAACTGGAGCAGTGAAGCCAAAGCAATCAGCCTCCACTCAACGAGAGAACACGCGTCTGCCTTTTGTTGTACAGATAAAATATAGCACTACTTATGACCACTAAAGACCTCATGTAAATGATAATACATAATAATAATTATAATGATAGAAATAATAATGAGCAGCAACTCAACTCAACTCAACTCTACTCTCTCAGCGTCGATCGTAAGGAAAACAAAGCATGCAACCTAAATGAGTTATCAACTTCAGCCGTAACTGAACAATGGCCAAGCAAACGCATCAGAGCCACGTTTCTAGCGATTGGTAACGACGATCAATTTGAAAATAGAGCTCACTCTAGCCATACATATGTCTGACAATCATCTCTAGACTATGCTAATCTGAGTACTCGAATAAGTTCTATAGGCTTCCATCTATTTCCAACTACTATTTGGCTATCTCACACATCTAATCAATTTGCTTTGAGCTCGATTTCTCGTTTACTTAGTGAAAAGTGTATATTGGTTTTCTGCTCCAACTTCTAAACATATATACCTCATTATCGCTCGATCTACAAAAGGCTTCAACCGTAAATTTTCTAGCTGTTAATTTTCTAAAGACGCGCAGCTATCAGACCTTGTTAATGTGTCACTTTATTACACTGGCTTAGACTATAATATGAGCTCCTAGCGATAATAGAGGAAGATATTATAGCTTTTAAACTAAACACTTAACGCATAGGCATACCTATAGCTGTTTACATGTTTTGGGTCAATCTGTAGAGAAGGGTAAGGGTAACGAGGTTTTGCAATTCTAGCTCAAAAACCATGAGAGATTCTGTTTTATCCGATTTGCCATATATATATATATATATTTATATATTTTATATATATAGAACAGCGGTTTATACTCCTTTCAATGCGTGAACGAGAATGGTGTTTCGGACAGGAGAAACTACACAGCAAATGGCATCAAGGAAAGCAAGAGTCAAAAAGATGGAAATACTTTTGGTAAGCTTTAAGTTTCGTAGACTTATTAAGTCAATTATGTAGAATGGAGGCGGTGGTGGTGGTGGTGGCGGCAGACGTTGCAGGCATCACAGCTTCATTGCTCCTGTTTTTACCTTTTTCATATTAATTAAGGCAACACAGATGAAACTTGTGCGACTTATGAGTCGCTGCGGCGCGTGTCACTCATTTGCCGTTTGTTAATCCTTTTGGCTGTTTGTCCTTTGATATTAGATTAGGTCAGCTCGAGATGGCCAGTCAGATAGGCGGTCTAATAAAGCCCAAAAACAATTGCCAGATTGCGATCAAGTCGTTGTCCAAATATTGAAAAGTATTTAAAGGGAGGGCATTAAAAATAAATATATGAAAAAAAATAAATCTATGACGCGTGACAATGTCAGGCTTGTCCAAAAAAGGCAGATGTATTTAAAAAAAATCAGATATATATATATATATATAAATATATATTTACATATACACACTGAATGTTGTTTGTTTGCTGGTCGAAATGAGCTTTGTCATTTAATCAGAAAACACCGCATGATGTCCTGGCTCGCAATTTACATAGCTCTCTCTCTCTCCCTCTCTCTGCTTTCTCTTTTTGCTAGCCATGGGGACGTGGGCGTTGGGCGTTGGGCATTGGGCGTTGAGCGATGGGTTCGACTATTAAATGAACGACACTGGGGCTGTCGTTGACAATTTGGTCAGCGCTTATATTCTTACATCATTAGCTTGTTATTTGCATGCCTGTTGCCCGTCGTTGTCGTTGTCGTTGTCGTTGTCGTTGCCGTTGTTCGGCTGTTGTGGCAGTAATTATTAGCTGCCCCTTGCGGCACGAGCCGTCAATTGGCAGGCATGCACGCTGCCTGGCCTGGTCGTCTGGCCGGCAGGCCGGCAGGCAACAGTTGCAGCTAATTAGCCAACTGCTGCTGCTGCTGCTGCTGCTGCCGCTGCAAAACTCTATGCAATGGGACTGAAGTACCAGCTCATGACCATATCCCTATATATTATAATGGTGGGTTCAAATCGATTATAACATTGCGTGACGCCCAGAAAACAGCTTCAGCTCAGCTCAGCTCGGCTCAGCAAGGTTCAAGGTATTCATGTGAGCTGCCGACTGCAGCCAAATTCGCGAACTGTCGACCCGAGTTGTTGCATGTTGCCCCGGGGCCAGCGCAAAGTGCAGCAACAGCAACAGCAGCAGCAGCAGCAGCCTAATGTGACGACTGCTGGACATTGATCCTGGCTGCGTGTTAGGGCCCATTCACAATAATCACACAAATGAAACTAAAGTAAAAAGCGCATTGGCCAACGGATGCCCCAAACTTAACTTGTTCAATCAAAGCATTTCCGCTCCCAACAACTTCCGTTCTTTGGCCAAAATACAGATTTTTGAATAAGAAGTTTGTGAAACGTTGCCAAATGGAGCTGAGTTCTGGATTTCTCTTTTGAATCCTATTGAATTTAATGCCATAACACGAAGAAAATGTTAAAGAGAACAATTGTTAATGTGTCCGATAGAACACAAAATTTAATCTAATATATATATTTTGCGTTATATAAAAAATATATTGTTCATTTTTTATGAACAAATATTTATTCCTGTTCACGTTGTGTAAGGAGCATTTTCGTTATGTCTTGGGGTTCCCCGAATTGTCTCTAGCAAAGTGAAGCTAGAGGCTTGAAGATTGGTATACTCGAGTGTATTGCCATCCTAAGTTACTTTGAATAATGGGAATTAATATATTCTTAGCAAAGAACCAGCCAATTGGAGTTTCAAATATACTAGCGTAAACTTTGTTACATTCAAGCGAAGTCATATTCATAGCTATGTCTACGACTCTTCGATTAGGAAAAGGTGAAAGCAAAAGGCAACTCAGATCTGCTTTAATTTTGATATTAGCTTTTTGACGCACTTAAGTTCAAAATTACAACATATAAAAAATATATAAATTTAATTTGAAATTTTTCAAAAAGTATTGCAACTTTGGCAATTGCTAATATATATATATAATCATACTATTGATAAACTAAGTTAGATAAGCCTGATCATGAAAATATACCTATACAAATGGGTCTTCATATGATAACCTAAGAGAGCCTAAAATGAACTGTCGTTTTCAAGAAAATATATTCTTAGTGTGTTAGCTATAACACCTGCTAAGTTCATGTGCATTTCTATTGCTGAGTTTATTCGATTTATGTACATGTATATGCTGTATATATATATATATATAATTTGGATATTTATTCAGAATACTTTTCGAGCTTCGTCTATGGTAGACTTGGAACTCACCTCGACCACTGCGTCCCACGAAGCGCAAATCATTGAACTTGGCAACTCCGTTCTTCATCTGGGCTGTGTAGTTGCGGAGCTCGGCACAGCAGTTCTCATCATTGCCCGCCCGGATGGTCACATAGGTGCCATCGCCGACGTCCGCCAGCGCGACGACTTTAAAGGCCAGCGGCAGAGTTTTGTTCGAGCGCCAATGGGAGGGCAAGGCGGAGCAGAGGAAGTATGGATTGCTCGTACGCACTGCAATGCAAAGGTGCAAACATAAAAAACACGCTTAAAAACCCAAACAAAAATGTGTAATTCAATTTATGTATTCATTTATAATTGCTCCAAAATATGGTAAATAATTGATAGTTATTTGGCGGCTGCATTTGACCATCAATCATTTGCATCTGCATTTAGCGTTCCGCCATGGCGCTTCATAATTAATTAGTGGGGGTGGCCATGCCAAAGGCAGAGCCAGTTGCCAGTTGCCAGCTGCCAGTTGGCGACTTACTTCAATCTGGGGCAACAACTGTCAGCAGAATGTAAACCAAAGGTCACTAGGCATCTATCCAGTTGCCTAATTTCATAAAATCATTAAATTTTCAGTTCAGTTTACATTTCGGATTATTTAACATACAACAAATTTTAAGTTCAGGTAATGTAATATGCACTACTGTTTCTGTGAACTACTCAAACTTATGAATTTTTTCTTTCTCAAGTCCTGTACTGCGCATGCTCCTAAGCTTGGATGAAAAGAAACGACTATTTTTAATAAAATATAAGCTAAGCTTAGTATGCATTTCAAACAGTTTTCAAAATATTCTGTTTATCACTGTATTGCGTTGGCCATCATCAAAATTGAATACCTAATGAAACAGATTTGATATGTAGTTTGAACACAAAATCATTTACTCAAATACTTCTCTCTATTGTCTCTGACTTTTATAGTCATGTCACTTTTATAGTTATTCTAAAGCTACTAAAACTAACTCCAAGTATTGTAACACGATATGGCAGCCATATATTCTACAGAATTGCAATCCTTTCATGTTTCACAATGACAGTGTTTCTAAAACAACAGATAGACAGATATCAAACATATAATATAAGCAGCATATTGGTTTTATAGTATGAATGCCTTTATGCCTATGTCAATGTAAACCCTATTAAGAACTTTGGATTTGAACACTTGATACATATATATATATATATATATATATATATATATATATATATATATATATATATATATATAATCTATATATATATATATAATCTTTCACTAAGTTCCACACAGTGCGATTTTCTCAAGCTCTGAGATTTCATAATGGCTCATTGATATGATCGGGTATGTATGGATTTCAGTGAGAAGAATATATATATATATATATCTATATATATATATATATATATATATATAGATCGATTGACATATCATATTCCACAGTTTCATATATAAATCTGGCGAATTGGTTGACTGCTGACTTCTGCTACAGATGGAGCTATAAAGCAAATGTGCCGTCGATTTTTACAATTTTATGCTAAGAAATTATAAGAAATTAAATAATGAGCTCCTTACTCCTTTCACTCCATAAGTCTGTTTGAAAATTTAAAAACAGTCTTGCTGCAACGCACTTATTTGAGTATGCTCAGAATGAGCTTATAAAAATTATATAAAAATAACATATTTTAAGATTTTTGAGGTGTTGAAAAAGTGTTAAAACAGTGCTGTGATATGGATGCGCTCTATGTATACAGGATTTCCACTATAGGTTAGACACTATAAATCAAGGCAGGGTATCTCCTAGTCAAACACTGTTATTTATAGGGTATCTGATAGTTAAGCACTAATAAATAGAGCATTAGTATGCAGGATTTCTACTAGCTTAGGACTATCCCTTAAGGCAGAGTATCTACCAGTTATACGCTATTAGTTAAAGTGACATCTGTTGCTAAACACTGTATCTGATAGCTAAACACTGTAAATTAAAGTTAACTGTGCAGGGTATCTACCAGATAGTCACTGCTCAAGAGATGAACGAAATGGCAAACGATCTTGAAGCATTTTCGCCTCAGTTGAGCACACAAAGGAAGCAGAAGAAGAAGACGAGGACCAAAAATGCATTCAAGTTTTATATGGAAGAGTGTAATCTTTCACGAAATTCCACACAATGCGATTTTCTCAAGCTCTGAGATTTCATAGGTCATTGATACGGTCGGGTATATATGGATTTCAGTGAAATCGTCTACCAGAGACGAGCGTTAAAGGAAGAAGAAGGAGAAGAATAGGAGCAAAAAAAAAAAACGAAGTCAAGACTCGTGCGTTGATATCAATAACAATTATTGATATCAATTTACTCATCATCGCTCAGCATTGATATAGACATAAAGCCCTAAAAGTGTTCAATGTCTTTTGAACGTTATCCTGGACACGCGCTAAAGCTTGTGATGCAGAAAGTCTAAGCAAATTTAAATTTTCAATTTGGCCACCAAATAATATGTATTTATTTACATATATGACTGTTTTCTCTAATTAATAGTTATTAGTTATTTGGCTTACTTTCTTTTGCTTTGAAAATAAACATATTCACTAATTGGAATTCCAATTGGCATGTATTCAAATTGAATTTGAATAAAAATAATGGAAAGAGATGTATATATAAATGATATGATATAAATTGGGATATAATATTATTCATATTAATATTAGAGAAAAAAACCCTTTTCTGTCTATCTAATTGAATGTTATATACAGAGCTCGAAAGATCTAAACCCAGGAATTCTAAGTCACCTGCAATTGGATAGAACCCGAGTGTGTGACTGGAGTGAAGTTTGAATAATCAAAACAACAACAAAAAGTGAGTGAATAATACGATTTATGTGCTTTGTTCAATAACGGGGCAATGCCCTCTGGTATTTCTATATAAATCAAGCTTATCACAAATTGTATATATATATATATATATGTATATTTGTACATACACACGTATGTATATATGTATATATGTTCGTTTGCCGCTTACCCAATTCGCCAGGATATTCCTGTTGCCTTTCGAGCACAAATCTTTCCATCCACAACAAATCCTGGTGCACTGCATTGTTGCTGTTGTTGTTGTTGTTGCGACTATTGTTGCTGTTGTTGTTGCTGTTGTTGTTGTTGTTGTTGCTACTGTTGTTGTTGTTGATATTGATTTTATTGCCACTGCCACTGTTAGCACTGTTAGCGGTGCCATTGCTGGCGCCACCTGTTGGCGAACTGCTGCCAACACTCGCACTGCTCGACGGCAGCACCTCGCACATGATCGCAGCAGCCGCTGACCCGGCTGCAGCTGCAACAGCCGTATTGGCGCTCTTATATTCCGCTGGCGCTGACCAGCCCGTACCCGTTGGCGATGCCGATGATGTGACCATGCTGCGATTGCCGCCGTCAATGCTGTTGATGCCGCTGATGCTGCTGATGCTGACGGGCGCCACAGCTGGTATTGCTCCTGTTCCAATTGCAATTGAGCCCGTATAGTAACTGTTAAGGCTGCTGACAATTGCCGTTGTTGTTGTTGCTGCAGTCGCTGTTGCCGCCTCACTGGGCAAATGGAAATGCATTCGGCGCGGGCGTGAACAACTCAAATCCAAATTCAAATCCAAATCAAATCAACAAATTTTTTTACGGCGCCAATTTGTCGAACAACAAGTGATTTGTGCGGGTTTCTCAATTTTTCAATTTCAGTTTCTGTTGCCGTTGCTGTTATCACTGTGAATAGATATCTTAGGCGGTTCGTAAGATACAAAATGTATCTAAAGTGGCTATTGCCTTATGCCTATGCAGCAGCTGTTCGTTGTTGTTGTTATTCTATATTTTGATTAATTTAATAATCAGGCAAAACAAAAATTAGTCACAAATTAACACTTGATGACGACTGTTGTTGCTGCTGTTGTTGTTGCCGCTGCTGCTGGGATGCTTAACTCTCGATTTTCATAGCTATTGCAACGTGAAACGCACATACACAAATTCATTGCATTCATTTTCGACTACATTTTCGCACTTTTTCTTGTTGTGTTTTGTCATTTAGCAACAAAAGCAACAAGAGCATTATTTGTATCTTATTGGTTTCTTGTTGGAATCTTTTGTCATCAACAACAACAACACTGGGTTCAGCAACAACAATTTACCGTTAAAAGTAGCACACGTTTATTTTTTGTTAATGTTTATTATTATTTTGACTTTGATTTTAATACGATTAACGTGTTTATTAAGTTTTGTTTTGTTTTTTGAATTCGAGTTGAAGTTTTTGTTTGGCGCCTTTTTGTTTCTCCCAATTCATATTACAATAACAGTAATTATATATTTAATAACTCACTACACACACAACACACATACACAAATTCGTATAAAGCCATGTGCAGTTAATTTTTTGCTATTTGAATTTTTTCTCAACAAACAAAATATGTAAAAAAAAAAGAAACAGGTGCGTCCGCGTGTCGAACTAAATTGTTACTGACACCTAACGTGGCCACCAGCGGCGAGTTAACCTATAGAACAGCCGCCAGTCGAGCCGAGCACAAAATTCAGTCATCGTCAACACTAGCGTCGCGACGGCAGCAACAGTAAACAGTAACACCCTGCCGCTGCTGCTGCCGCCGTGATAAGCTGTGAACATTCATTTTTCTCTTGTTCGCTCTCTGCCTGTGTGTTGCCTGCTCTCTGCACTCGTATTCAGCAATTGCCCTCGCAACGGCTGAACTTGTGCTGACTCTCCCGCCGCTGCGTCTGCGTCGGCGTTGAATGCTAGCCAATCGGCATGCGGTGGCCTGTGCATTGTGCGCAGACCGTTATGTCTGAAACGCCTTCTGATTGGCCAAACGCTGTCTCCATGCGTGTATCTGTGTGCGTCTCTGATTGTGTTTTGTAGGTCATGGTGGTTCAGACGTGTGTTTGCTTTTTCCCTGGAGCCCATTGCCATCTGTCATTGGGTGGAGCCTGTACCTGTTTGACACAGTGCGACCAATTAGCCTCAGCCGCTCTTTGGTATGCTCTTTGCTTTTAACTTGCTTTTTTTTTATCAAGTTTTTTATATGCATCCGCCTGCTCTCTCTTTCTCTCTCTCCTGCTTGCCTCTCTCTCTCTCTCTCTCTCTCTCTTCGTTAATCTCTCTGTCTTTCTCTTAATTTCTCAGCATTGCGCTATCAGTCATTCATTTATGTTGTTTTATACTAAGTAAACAGTGCTTATGCTCGTATTTATGTTAACTTTTTTATTTTTTTTAAGCCAAAGCGATAAATGGTATTAGCCTCCAGATTACGCTGTGCGGTGTCATATGTACGCCTCACTAATGTTTACAACTAAGTATAAAACAACAATTGATGTAATAGCTATGATTTAAATACCAGCAGATCGGAATGGTATTTGCATTCGCATTGACTAATTGCTCTTAGTTGGCAGTTTCCTTATAAAGGCCCGCTTACAGAGTGCGAAGTGCGAAGTACCCGCAGTTATCCCAGATTTACTATTGTTGACTCAACTTGAATTCCATAGGTACTTAAGCTTAAGCTTCATAGATCTGCACACCCACACACATATATATATATATATATATATATACATATATATATACGTATTCATATATGTGTTCGAAAGTTAATTTCTTAAATTTTATATCAGTTCTGACATTTATTATGGTTACTGTTGACCACACAACTTATCGCATATACATATATATATATATATATATATATATATATATATATATATTTTTTTTTTATACTATTACTATATATTCACATAGTTTAGGTTGGCACATTTATATACATACATACACACACATCGGTTTATTGGTTTATTTTTATTTCGCTACTGTGGGAAACTTTTGTTTTATCAGTCAAAACGAAAAAGAAATAAAAATTTATGCAGAGCGCCTACAGCAGGCGACTAGGCGCTACCCTGTAAGTAGAAAGACTGTATGTGTGCACGAGGTCATTGTGGCATCCGTGAGCCGTCTTTATTGTAACCAAGGTTCAGTTCATGATATTCGAAGCAATTTTCAGTATGGACTGTCCCCACTTGTCTACGTCCCATTCCAATGCGTATAGGGTATGCTAATAACTTAATATGATATGTGCAAAAGTGCTCTTATCACATGCTGTGTGGATATTTGAAGGTCAAGCAACATGTTTAGCATTTATTCCCACAGTTGTTCAGATAAAAAAAGAAACATTTATGCATACATATGTAACTATATATATATATATATACGTGTGTGTATGTGTGAGCACTACGAGAATAATGTTTCCTTAAATATATTAAATCATAACAAACAGATGTTTTCCTTATAAATACTTCTATGTGTTTTTGTATTATTCTTACGATAAATCGCAAATCTATAAAATTGTTTTTATCTTATATTTAACGCAGGCTAACTATCTAGGCACTGCTCGTCAAGAGTGCAGTCTATGTACACGCAATGCAGCCGGTCTGGCTTTACGTTGTGCAGGCTTGGGCTATAGCTGCAAAATCGCATCACAGACTCCTGCAGGTCTTGCAAAATAGTGGCAGGCGAACTGCCCCTGGTATGTGCGCAGCACCACCCTTCACTGTGACCTGAACCTGCATGCAGTGGAGGAATAGTTGGGGAGGCTCACTGTTAGATTCAGTGATTGGCTGATAAGAAATTGCAGTATGCTCGCGAGGCGCCTACCCCACACTAGGCCGTTGAGGCCACTGAAAAGAATGGGATTAGCGAACCAATATGAGATAATTGCAATTTTTGCTATTAATATTTATTTTTTACTCCTTAATTAAGTCCTCAAGAGGTTTGTTTTTTACATATTAATAAGTTGCTACATTTTTTAGCACGGATTCAACGCTTAATAAAGAATCAAAACAAAAACGTCGCTCAAAAGCTAGTTGTTTTGTCTATGTTGATGGGATGGTCCAGAGTTGCGCTTCTAACTGCATAGCTGGGGTGTGGTCAGTGAGTGCTATCAGAGTGTAACAGGGATTGACCTTTAAGTTACCACTCTTGCACCAAGCTGTCAATGTGTTAAGGTGTGTACCTGAGAATACCATCTGTTGCCTCAGAGCTCCACTTGGAGCTATAAAGCAGCTCAATATCGGCAGCGTATGTAGCAAGAAGAGACTCTGGGAACCCCTATATGGTGTTCGCTAGATATACAGTATAAATTGAGTAGAGCAGTGGACGTAGGACGCTACTCTGTGGAAGGACTCTGAAAGAGTACTTAGGAGCTATTAATTTTTATTATCATCTTTATACATAGGTATGTGCATAATTGGTTTACCAATGGGCACTTAAAAGCAAAATTCCGTGATAACCGATATAAGCCTATCGCTGGACAACCGTTTGTTGTATACTTTTGGGGAGAAAAACATAAAAAAATAAGTCATACTTCCAGGAGCAGGAAAAGTATTGCAGCATGAGCGCGCAGCAACAACCAGGAGGGATAAATATAGAGGGAGAGATGTCGACGTCAGGTAGACGAATCCATCTAGCTGCAGCATTAGGAGCCGTCTACTGCTACTACTACTGCAACTGTAGCTACCAGCGCCGCCACCGCTGCCATCATTATATGTACCGTAGATGCCATAGGTTCCGCGCAGGCATTTCAGCAGCTGTTAAGACATTATATGAAGTCGCCATGTCATTGGCGGTGAAGAATTCTGTAATGTGGAACAACGCTGTAAGGCTACATGGTCGTCCCTCGACCGCCAACGCTGTGCCTTTATTCGCTGCTGCTGCTAGCGGTTTTCTCGTCCCCAGAGACGTAGCTCACAGTGGTCACTAGTCGAACCATCAGTCAAGCGCCGAGCGATTCGAAGATGCAGGAGGCGCAAATCATTGCACTATTTAATTACCTAACTTAAAACTAAAACTAATATTGTTTTTAAAATATGTTTTCAAACTGATTAAGCTTTTAATGTTCAATCAGTGAGTTAGACGGAACTCTCGGCTTAGCATACCAAAGATGAACAAAGTAAAAATTTCGACAAACATTCCATGGACAGGTGTTTAATTTTATTGAGAGCGAGCATTTTCTAATAATTGATAGGGTCTCTTCATTTTCTTAGAGATAATGCAAAATTTGTGATTTATATGCAAGACGGGTTCAAATGTTTTAAAAGTTTTATTTATTTGTTAATAAGCTCATTTGGAAATATTTAAAATAATAATAAATAATTTTCTTTTCCTTAAAATAAATAAGCATATATTCATGCTGATCCTTTAGATTTTGTACTCATTAAATGTTTTATTTATTTGTTATTTTTGGTTGTCATTCGACGAAGTGCATGCCAATCACTTTCCGTTTTTGCTCTTTCGTTCGAACTTCGAACGGCAGCTAACATGTTGTCATCTAACATGTTTGTTGCAGCACGCATGCTTCGAACTTCACTGCAATCTGTTCAAACTACAAGTAGTAGCGCATCGAACATAGCAAGCACACGGCACACGATAACTGC